GCAGGGTCCCAGGCAGACTCTCAGTCATAGCCTATAGCCTAGAAAAACTAGAGGAAGGGGGCTTTCCTTTCAGCAGCCTCATGAGTATCACAGAGAACACCTCACAAGGTCCTAATGGGTCACTGGCCACCCCTGGACCAGTGACATCTTACTCACGTGCATCCTACTCAGCTGGGGACATTTATTTCCCAGGTCTTTGTTGTGTAGAAAGAGTGTGAGTCACCTTTCAGCAACAAGAGGAAATACATTGAGTGAGGAAGTAGAATCTTAGATGAGTAGCAGTAGGGGAACAGAGAACTGTGTGAGACCGACTGTTTACAAACACACGTGACCTCTCATACACTCTTCTTCGGTGCCAACAAGAGGGTGCCAGCTAACAGCTCCACCCTTTGAGGCCAGTGCTACCATGGACAGCAAAACTGGGCCAGGACAATGGACACAGGGAAAAAAGGGTTCAGTCCCTTGGAACATCGGATGCTGCAATCCTAAATGAAATCTGTAAAATGTGTGAGTATGTACTTGTGTGTGTTTATTAATAGGTAGTGTTTAGTTCAGAAATGCAAAGACAGTTTACAATTTTTAAAAAACACTTCACCTGCTCATAATAAAAATTCTTAGAAGTGTGGAAAGAATTTTCTTATCGGATAAATGATACTCATCAAATTCAGCAAACAGTTTGCTTAATAATGAAGCATTTTTTCAAGTTTGATACAAGATTAATGTGCCTATCACTATTTCTTATAATCAATGTTTTATTGGAAGCCTGAAATACAAATACAAGAAAAACAAATTGGCATAAATATTGGAATAATATAAACATGGCGGGTTTTGTAGAAGATATAATCATCTTCATATAGTAACCCTAGAACATCAGATCAAAAGCATTAGGAGTAATAACTAAGGGATTGGTCAAGTGTCTGAATAGACAATAAACATACAATTCCAGAGTTCCACTTTATCTTCTCAATGACCAGTTAGTAAACCATTTTGAGGACTATAGTTATAATAGCAACACAACTATCTTTAAAATCTTGGGATAAAAATACATATATGCTGAATCTTTAAATAGGAAATTCTATAAAACATTATTGATAAACATAAATGACCAGAATAAATAGATGTACCATGTTCATGATTAAAAAGATTTAACATTGTAAAAAGGTTGTCTTTTTACATTTACCTGTGAATTCAATATAAGTTCAACAAAAGGCAGAGCGGAGGTTTTCAAGAAATGCTTTGCTTATTTTAGAATTGGATGGAAGAGAAAAGGTACACAGAAGGCTACAACAGCGTTGAAGAGGGAGATTAGGGAGGGATGTTTGTCCTATCCGCTGTCAAGGCAGCCGACAGCCACCTCCCAAGCTCCAAGGTGGCAAGTTTCCTTGTTTGATTTTTTATCTATTCTTGCTGGAGCCCAGGTGGGGCTTGCTTGCCCTGGTGGGCAAGTAGGAAGCATTGGGTCTACAAAAGACCCGTGCCTCCAGCCTGTGAGGCTCTGTGTGCACAGCCTTTGCTCCAGCACCCTCACATACCCAGTCTCCACCTGTACCCAGAGAGATCTTTGTGAAAGACCAGGCATCCCAGGTCACCTCCTGGACTAAACTCTCTGAAGATTTTCCACTTTCCTGAAAATGGAATCTGAAGTCCTTCGCTCTGTGTCTTAGTTCATTTATTGTAATAACTGAAAACCACAGTCTGGGAAACAAGAAGGAGGAGGAGAAGGGGAAGGAGAAGAAGGAGGAGGAGGAGGAGAGGGAGAGGAAGAGGAAGAGGAGGAGGAGGAGGAGAAGGAGGAGGAGCTTATTTAGCTCCCAATCTACAAGTCCAAGAGCACATCGCCAGCATCTTCTGCACCTGGTGAGGGCCTTGTTTCTGTGTCACAATAGGCCAGGGGGCATCACTTGGAGAGGCCGAGCAAGTGCAGCAGAGGGAGCTGCTTTGTAACAAAGCCATCCTGCCGGGATAAGCCTCTAATTGACCAGTCCAAGAGGGAGTTGATCTGTGTGTGAAGCCAGACCTGTGATCCAGTCACAGCCCTCTCAATGCCCCACCTGGCCCCACCCCTCACTGCCCCACCCTGGGATTAGATTGCAGCATGAGGTTGGGGGCCTTCACACCACAGCCCTTGGCCCCCAGGCCTCCAGCTCAGGCACTGTCCATTGTGCCCACTCTTCCTGGCCACGCTGGCTTTTCACTCACTGCTGTGGGATGCTCTTGGCTTTGTCTGGCCCCAGAGCATTTGCACTGGCTGACTCTCCAACAGAACACTGTTCCCACACTGCACCTTGCAGTCCCCAGCCTTGCACAGCAGTCTCAGCTCATGTCTGACTTGTGATTCCATGGTCCTTGTCACTCTCTGGTGGGCCATGTTTCCTCCCTGAGGACCTAAGCTCCATGGAAAGGACCAGCCCTGCTATGCTGCTGCAGCCCTATGGGCCCTGCTCAGTGTCTGCATGTGGAAGTATCACAGTGGGAAATGTTTGTCGAATGAACGAATGAATGCCCAGTGACAGGCAAATAGATCTAAGAAACAGAATATAAGAATATATTTTTTCTATGCATTTAAATTCTTGATATCACAAATTTTCAATTATATAAGAGAATTTTAAAAATGAAATTTTCTAGGCAAACAAATATTTTCTTACTGAAACTTCTAGAAATGGTGCCCTTGGACCCAATAACCACCAGATATTGGGATATCTAAGACCCTGCTGGGAGTCCCAGAGGCTCAGGCCGGGGAGGACAGGGAGCAGCCTGGCAAGCATCGCTCTTGGCAGTGGTCTCCAGTGGAGATCCATTCCCATCCCGCGGGCCTTGTCCTCATCTCCTCTCCATGACAGCATGGTGACTCCCTGAGATGGCTCACAAGGGGCCATGACTCCTCCTCTGAATCACAGCCCTGCTATTGTCCCTGGCCCGGGGCTCCCCTCCCACCCACAGCCACCTGCCTAGAGCTGACTCTTGCCCTCTCTGCCTCCCACTGCCCCACAAGGAAGCCTAGAGCTGCAGCCCAGGTGCCAGCACTGCTAGCCAGCCCTCTTCCTCCAGGGGCTGAATGCACCTTCAGACCAAGGACACTTTCCTTGTCCTTGTCCCCGGAACAGAGCCCAATGCCTATCAGAAGTAGGTGCACAGTAAACATCTGGGAAACTCATGATTTGGGGACACAATAATGCGCTCCCTCTTCCTGGCCTTTATCCTAGATGATCAGAAGCAGCACGGGGTGGACAAGGACAACTGTGAAGCCCCTCTCTGACCTCAAGTCTCCGTCACAAGAGGCTTCAAGGCTGGATGGCACTCAGTCCTTCCAGCCTGTTGGCAGGTAGTTTGTCGCCTCTCCTGTGACTGGATCATGGGTCAGGACCCTCCCAAGGCTGCTGGCCGAGGTCACTGAAACACTGCATACACAATGACACCCCAGTAGTGCAGGCATCATGGGGTGCTGGAGTTCTTGTCCCCAGCCTGACAGTGACCCCCTAGTCCCTCCTTCCCTCTGGGTCTCCCCATGCTCTTCTGTTGAGCAGGGAAATGATGCAGACCTAATACTCAGAGATCTAACATGCAGTTCCCAGCACCCAGATACCATTCTGTAATTGTGGGATTCTATTACAGGATTCCATGGTTACATTCTGTGAATCCGTAAGGAATGTCACAATGTCCTGTGATGTCAGATGCTATTCTACAACTGCTTGACAACATCTCAGATTCTGTGTGCTAGCTCCTCAGTCCTTAGGAAGCCCAAATGCACTTTTAAAAAATGAATTCAGTATTGTATCCATTTTCTGTTCAGAAACAAAAGAAAAAAGTTAAATACCACCCTAAAATATAGTGGGTCAGAAACAGCACATGTTTCAATCTCATGCTCTGTAGGTTGGCTGAGCTCAGCTGAGTGGTTCTTCTGCTCCATGTGAAGTTAGGCATCTGCAGAGGAATATCCAGGGGCCCCGGGGGCTCACATGTGGCCAGCCACTGGTGCTAGCTGTCCTTGGGAGCCTGGTGGGGCTTATCGGCCAGATTATTTCAGTTTCCCCCTCAGGGTCTCTCCCTGGGGCTGGGATCCAACTGTTCTCTTGGTGCCTGGACCTGGATGTCCTGGAGCATTGCTTTATTGAGGGATTCCAGAAGCAAACTCCCAACAGGGAGGAGCATCAGCATCCCATCACTGAGACAAATTACCTGAGGTGATCAGCTCATAGGAGCAAAGCTTTATTCCCGCTCTGGTTTCAGAGCTTTCAGTCCATGGCCACATAACCTACTGCTCTGGGCCTGGGGCAGCATTCATGTCATGGTGCAGGTGCAGGGGTACAGGAGTCTGCTTACCTCAAAGCAGCCAGGAAGTAAAAGAGGAAGGGGCTGGGTCTTGATATCCACTGTGAGGCCATGACCCTGGTGACCTCACTTCTTCCTGCTGGCCCCTCCCCCTAAAGGATCCAACACTTCCCAGTAGAGCCCCAGGCTGGGGACAAAGCCTTTAACATGGGAGCATTTGGAGACATTCCAGGTACAAATTATAGCCATGTGGAATCATAGCATCTGCTGAAGACAGTTGAAGCCACCTGTTGGAGCCTAGCACTGATTACAGCACACCTGTAATCCCTCTGAAAGGCTGAGGCAGGAAGATTGTGAGTTAGAGCCCACCATGAGCAATGTAGCGACTTAGAGAGACCTTGCTGCAAAATAAAAACTAAAAAGGGCCAGGACATAACGCAGTGTGAAGGCTCTAGGTTATAGCCCCAGTACCAGAAATAAATGTCTGCCTGCCAGAACCTGGGAACTGATGCCGGGTATCTTGCTTACTTTCCCCATGCTGAGGATACAGAGACCTCAAAGACATGCAGAGAAATGAAAGCCTTTCCCCCTTTTCCCTCCACTTCGAAGCTCTGTGACTTAGGCAACTTCAGCACCTCTCTCTGGGCCTCTGTTTGCTCTTCTAGAAGACGGGCACGGGTCTTGAGGGTGCTGAGAGCCTCCTCCCTAACCTCTGTCACCTGTGCTCCTAGGTACTCCTTCCAGGATGAGGAGGACATGTTCATGGTGGTGGACCTGCTGCTGGGCGGGGACCTTCGCTACCACCTGCAGCAGAGCGTGCATTTCACAGAGGGCGCGGTGAAGCTCTACATCTGCGAGCTGGCGCTGGCCCTGGAGTACCTGCAGCAGTGCCACATCGTCCACAGGTACCAGCTCGGGTGCGCCGGGGGCCAGGGCTTGCGGGGCGGCAGGTGCAACTCAGGGAAGATTTTCCCCTGACACTGTCTGGGAGTGGCTATGCCTGGGGACAATAAAAAGCAGGACAGCTTTCCTATTGCTTTTACCTTCTCTGCAGACAGCCACCTTCCTGCCTGGCTGAAGGAGAACTGCTGGGGACAGGGGCAGGGCTGGGGTTGGCTATGGCTTCACCCCAAGACATAACTCAATGTGGTGTCTGAGATGTGCTGTCCCTCCTGTCCCAGGTCAGCAGGGTCATGGTGACATTACTCCACTAATGAGTCAGGAGCGTGAGGGCTGCTATTCTCTTCCTTCCCATCCTTTGAGGGCTGTTGTGCATCGCGGAGGATTTGTGCTGCTTGAAGCCTCAGTGCTGATTCTAGGGTTGGATAAAAGCTTTCGCACTGCTGCTCCTTGGGCTCAGTGGCTTTCTTCCTGCCTGTGTCCAGCAGTGTGGTGCCCAACACAGGTGAACAAAGCAAGTTGGCCACAGAGCAGCAGCTTAGCAAGAGGCCTCAGAGCGCTGTGGCTTTCCCCAGCTGCAGGCAGGGCTGGGACAAAAAGCTCCAAATTTGTTTACCTATGGTCTTGCACGGTGTCCACCTGACCTGCTTCTAATGTAAACCTTTGGAAGACCTGGAAAAGATAAGGACTTAAACTTCTAGGTGAAGAAGGCAGATTAAGTGTGTGTGCGCACACACACACATGCACGCACACACACCTCTATATTTTCTCCCTTCTAAAATCCTAATGAAATTGTTAACGTTAGATTCATAAGGATGAGAAAGTGGAATAGTGACTGTTGCACATTAGGAGATGGAAAGAAGATGCAGTCATGAATGGCTCAGGGCATCAGAAACCGAATTTTCAATTGTCTTTGGGGGAGTCAAGATTGGTTGACGCTAAAGAAACCTCAAAGGCTCACAGATTTGGAAAACCGGGCTATGGTAAGGGGAATTGTTGAAAACCTCCAAGAAGTCCCGAAAGCCCAGGCTTCTTTCTCTGCTCAGCATCACCACTGTCTCTGGCTGCCCCTCCATGCCCAGGAAGAAGACTGAAGGTTGGTCCCCAGGGAGAGTCATAGAGCTTCCGGGCTGAAGGTCAGCATCCCCGGCTGGGCATCTAAGCAGCAAAGCTGTCTAAATCTATGTATATCAGCTGCTGCGATAACACTGCCCTGTTCCGACTAGGGTCAGAGAACAGTGCCCGTGAGCCTGTATCCTCCAGGAAAAATACAAGCTCTTTCCATGGGAATGAGATGGAGCCATGAGCAAGGGATTGTGGTGCCAGGGGTTCCCATGACAGCTTAGTGTGTACCTCAGAGTGCACAAGCCCCACGTTCAGTACCCATCCCAGCTGGGTGGGTAAAACCAAGGACCGTCAGACATCCAGGGAGTAAGGTCCAAGCAAACGGGAAAAAAGAGAGCTAGAAATAAACAGTGGTTCAGAAAACATTAAAATAACTAAGATCAGCATTTTCAGAGGGATAAGAGAAGATTTTTGCAAATGTAAAATAAGAAAGGTACTTTCTTCAATTTAGAAAACAAACAGAGCTCTTATAAATTAAAAGAGTAAAAGCATAAATGAAAAGCTCAAAAGGTATGTTGGAAGATAAAGTTTCTGTACTCTTCCACAAAGCACAATAAAAAGATAAGAACAAGTGTGAGAGAAAAGACAAGGAAATTAGGGTCACAGTGCAAAAATTTTAACAACAGCAGAAGAGAAGACACAGAGGAAGAAATCACTAATGAAATAATTCAAGAAAACCTCCCCAACCTGAAATACAGAATGATCCTGATTGAAAGACCCTTTCATGGGCTCAGAGCCATGGCTAGAAAGAGAAGCACATCAAATAAACTTCCATAAGCTTCCAGGGAGGAGCCACTGACCATAAAGCCGGAAGGATTGGAGTAGTTTGGATTGCTCAAATGCTGGAAATGCACATTCCCATGAGCTACAGGTCTCAAAAACCATGCCTTCTGTACACATTCTCTTGAGTGCAAGAAAGGCAGGTAGACTCTAAAATGGAGTCAGTCAAGGAGGAGGCAGAAGAAGATGGGGAAAGCTGGAACTCTGGCCAAGAAGAGAGGCAGGAGGTCCCTGGGGTGGTGCAGAAGGGGTCTGGTGTCTACAGCATGGACTGGAGTGGCTGGGGAGACCCCGGAGAACCTCGCCAGGAAGGATGAGGTGCTGGGACTCTTGGTGGATCTGGCTGCTGTCAACGGAGATTCATTTAGTTGGCAAAGGATCTGAAGTTGAATTAAAATGAGGAATTCCTTCATAAAACCTCAACAACAAAAATTAGGACATTATTAATTCTAGGGAGTGAGAGTGTTGTATAAGACATCGTGTGCCATGCAGTTCACGTATGGGTCATCTCTGCATATAACACCTCATCAGAATTCCCCCAAAGTGGATCTCCTGATCCAGATACAGGAGTCATCTCCAGAGAACAGAGGAGGGGCACAGAGAGATGTGTCTCCGGGACTGTGGAGACGCAAGCCTGCCAGATTCTCAGCTTCCATAACAGAGACAGCCTGAAACTAAAATGTGAGAAGGGGTTAAGTCTATCATGCAGAAATGAGGGATAAATGTCAAATTTATAATCAGAAAAGGATGGATGGATGGATGAATGATTGCTAGAGAAGGATGAATAGTTAGAAAGTGGTAGGAATTGTCACTGTGCTATAGCAAAACTTACAGAACATTTGGTCCTGAATATTTGCATGTATAAATTTTTTTAAATTCTTTTATTGGGATGTTTTAGGTATACAATACATTTACATTTATCATTGGGTGCTTGTACCTGTACATGATGTATCTTGGTTCTTATTTTTCCCCATTCCCTGTCCTCCCTTCACCCCCTCCACCCTTCCCTATTTACATAGACTTTGTTTCCATTTTTTCCTTTTGTCATAATTTTTCCTTTCCCCTTCCCTTCCCATTTCCCCTAACCCTTTGGAACTTTTCTTCCTATTTCAACTTATCAATTGTTTGTTTTAATCATTTTAATCTTTATTTACACTTTCAGTTTCTCACACTAGAGAAACTATTCAGTATTTACACATGTGTGTTCTATTTATTTCACTTAAGAGTATGGCCTCAATATGCATCCATTTAGCTATAAATGTCTCTAGTTTCTTGTTCTTTATAGCTGAGTAGTACTCCATTTTGTAAAAAAACAAAAACCCACATCTTCCTTATCTAGTTGATGGGCACTTGGGCTGTTTCCAAGTTGTAGCTATCACAAACTGTGCCACTATAAACATGGGTGCACATATATCACTGTGGTATGATTCTTTTAATTCTTTTGGGAAGATACCCAGCAGGGGAATAGCTGGGTCAAATGGGACCTCTAGCCCTAGTTCTTTTGAGGTATCTCCATACTGATATCCACAGTGGTTGCACCAGTCTGCACTCCCATCAACAATGGAGAAGGGTTCCTTTCTCTCCACACCCCCACCAGCATTTATTATTTGTTGATTTCTTGATAGCAGCCATTCTTTCTGGAGTGAGGTGGAATCTCAGTGTGGTTTTCATCTCCATCTCTTGACTGACCAGTGATGTTGAACATTTTTTCATATGTTTATTTGTTGCTTTTACTTCTTTGTCTGAGAAATGTCTGTTCATTTCAGATGCCCATTTTTTAATTGGATCTTTGAATTTGGGGGGGGGGGTCTGACTTTTTTCAGTTCTTTATATATTCTAGATGGTAGTCCTTTGTCTAAGGTACAGCTGCTAAAATTTCTGTCCCACATTGTAGGTTGTCTCTTAGCTCTGTTGGTGGTTTCTCTTGCAGTGCAGAAGCTTTTTAATAAGATGAGATCCCAGTTGTTGATTCTTTGTGCTAGTTCCCATGCTACTAAGGATTTGTTCATAAAGCCCTTTCCTATGCCAATGTCTTTGAGAGTTCTACTTAACTTGTCTTCTAGCAAGTTTAGTGTTTCTGTTTTAATATTTAGGTCTTTAATCCACTTCAATCTTAGTTTAGTGCATTGTGATAGATATGGGTCTAGTTTTAATCTTTGGCAGATTGAAATCCAGTTTTTCCAACACCATTTATTAAATAAGCTATCTTTCCTCCAATGAGTGTGGTTTGTTCCTGTTTATTACACTCCTGGGTGTCTACACTACTGTAAAATATATACATGTGTAGATATAAATTTAAATATATGCATGTGTGTATATATATGCACATGAGGGCATATATATGTGCATGCACATATATATAGCATATATAAATATATTTCATAGATACACATAATATACACCCATGCACACACACAGAATCGTCTCATTAACCCTCGCTACAATAAAATGAGCTGGGTACTGTAATGACCCCCACTTGGTAGACACTGGGGGATTTGCCCCAGGACACAGCTGGCAGGTCATGGAACTGCGCTCCAAGCTGGGCCTTTCAGACCCAGATCTCAGAGTCTGAGCCACTGAACCGCACAGCTCCCTCCTCATTCCAGTTGCAAGGAGCTGTTTGTGAAGGGCCTGTAGGGTCGAGTGTGCCCAGATGTGTTCACATCCAGCTAAGCACACGTGGAGCCAGCCTGCGGCGTCCTCACACTCACCCCCAAGGAAGGCACTGCTCCCCTGGTGTAGGTGAGGCAGCACCATTTCTGGGGTTCACCTTTGAACCTAAAGTTACTGCCAATGAGCCCTGGAATCAGAGCTCAGAAATGGAATCTGCCTTGCAGTCAAGGGCTCTCTCTACACCCACTGCTTTCCCAGGGCCAAAAGGCAAATTATAGTTATGTCCTGTCCACCGTCGCCTCCATCCAGCTAATCCACAGACAGCTCCATGTCAGACAGAAGAGCCCTACTTCTTTTGAGGGTGTTCCTGACCCTACTTTATCTGAGCTTGGTTCCAGCTGTGTGCCCCACTTCCTGTCCCTCGTGGTACACCTTTTGTCCCTCCTGCCTGACAGGCGACCCCAATGTCACTGATTCCTTGCTATTA